CTCTCGCTCTCTCTCTCTCTCTCGCTCTCTCTCGCTCTCTCTCTCTCTCTCTCTCTCTATCTCTCTCTCTCTCTCTCTCTATCTCTCGCCTCCAGTGGAATCGAGCAAAAAGAAGGGCATGCTCATGAAGCATTCTTTGCTAAAATAAAAAGAAGATAAAATGGATGAAAAAATATACTGTATAGGCTTCTCTCTCAAGGGCCTGGAGGCAGGAGAGGATCTCCTGAAGGGAGATCCTCTGCTGCTTGCACACGGACGGAGTCGGCAGCAGGGAACAGGAGCCAATCAATGAATTGATTTCTGGATGAAAACATCCAGAGGCCCGTCCTTGCATCTCAGTCTCTCTTTCCCCGCTTTCTTCCCAGAAAACTCCCTCTGACAATGGGGCCAGAGTTGCCAAAGGGAGAGAAGAGCACAAGAACCTTGCTTCTTCTTCTTCTCTCCTGCCCTGTCCTGTCCTGTTCTACTATGTTGTATGACACAGTTTCAGTTTCTTTCCCTCCTCAGCAAAAAAAAGGCATCCGAGAAATCACACGAAGAAAATAATCAAGATTTCATTGTATCCCCCTTTTTTTCGATGCCAAAATAAACAATTAAGAAATCATACCATATGCCTCCTTCGTCAGTTCCTGGAACTCGACCGAAACGATTTAATTCATATAGACGCGTCAGAGTCAGTTTCCGCATTACCGTGAAATAATAAAAGCTAATCCGGAATAGCGTATGCAAATTATGAGTTCCAAGGACAGGGCAATCCAGTGCCTTCCTGCTTATTCGCCACAGCAAGGAGAAAAGCCGCAGAAAAGGAAAGGAAAAAATTACGACCTTGAGTCCTTTGGAGGTAGTCGTTATTTCTTGAAATATTCCCAAAAGACGCTCGTTTCTGAAGTAATAAATGAATAACTTGGGCACATTGCAGAATGGCACATGCCAAAACGGCACTTGCCAGAAACGAGGGAAATGGCAAGGCAGAACTTGAGCGCAAGAGTTGAAAATATACCGGATTTAGTACTGAGCAAACCATAGCAGTACTTTTGCAGAATATTTTTCAAGTGATGAAAAAAGCCTGCATTTCTTTCAAGTCAGGTCAATGTGAACTCAGGGTTCTTCTGAAAAAGATGCTCGCAAACCATCAATTGAAAATAAACAATATTGTCGGTGCTCTTATTGCGCATTGGTCCACTATAACTTTTCTTATCCGTGCCTCAAATGGGCCCAGCAACATCGGAATTACACAGTTGATTTTATTTGGATCCCATGAAAATTTTCGATCAAATTATCTTGTCGTCATTTCCCGGTCCAAAACACGCACAATTGTTATTTTTAAAAATCCGCAAAATTCGAAAGAACTCGTATTTGTGCAAGATAAAAACAATTTACCCGGCCGATTACAACCCTTTGTACTGCTGCTCTGTGACTTTTATTAATGCGTTATGATGCTTCAATCAAAAGTACATTTGTGAAAATTTCAATCAATCAGCGAGTATTGACTCCTCGCAAGTGGACATTTAGACATTCGCCAGGGTCAACAAGTTCCAAGGCATTATAGTGTATAGTTCATACAGTGCAGCTATAGCTGGTCGTCCGATGTCGATTTCTAATGGCATTGTTTCAATTTTATCTTCAAAGTTGAGCAGAAACAGCTTCGGGACGCGTCATTTCGACGCACATGAAATTGTGCCGACATCAACGGTCGAAAGAAAGAGGTCACCGAGCTCGCGACCCGCGGCAAATGACCTTTATTCCGATGAAATTTTCGGCAGCAATCAAACGAAACCCTCTGCATGATGATGGGTACCAATGAGAATGGATATTTCCACAAGAAGAAGAAGAAGATTGGGAAGGAAACACAGTACTGTAGGTAGCTATAGAAAAAAGTCAAGTGAGACTGACCTGCAAGTCGCAGAGCAGACATCCGCTGGTACTCGGGTTCCTGCAGCCACTTCCACATCCTGCGGAAGGTTTCCCGGCCGGACTTGAGTTTGCTCCAGGGTTTCGGGTTCCGCAGCAGGTCCGAAAGGGTGCCCTGGGATCGACAGAGAACCCGTTGCGCGAAAATGGCCTGCGGGATGCTGTAGCGCTTCAGCTCCGCGCTGATCCGTTGAGCCAACTCCTTCGTGTTGATCTCCTCCAACTCCCCGCCGCCATTCTGTGCCAAAATCAACGACAAAAGCCAAAACAAACAAATAAATAAATAAATAAATAAATAAATATGGGAAAAGGGAGTCATGCGCACATTTAGCAGCGTGAAAAAAAAGCGCTGAATAAAAAGAAGAATCCGCCAGCAACGTCCTTTTCACGATGCACTCGAGAGAAAAATAAATACTCTCGAGGACTCATCATGGTTCATTTTTCGAATAAACTCTTTCAAAATCAATAAATTTCATCACGAAAATATGGGAAACCCTCGGCATGGAACCTTTGCATCATTCAGTCAATAAATTGGTATTCATCTACACATTCATGATTAGCACAAATTGTATTGCAAACATTAAACTTATGATGGCGGAAACAATTAAAATCAGCAACAGTTTCGTTTTTAAATGGCGGAGAGGAAAGCTTTGGAGCTTTGTTGTTGATACGTTTTCTCAATGTTGACATGATTTTCAATAAGCTCTATAAAGGTACTTAATTTGTTTTCTGATTTTGGTAACCTACATCAGGAAATCAACTGCTGGATCCACAATTTAATCAGGCCCCCGACGAAATATTACGTAATTATTTGTCTCCTACTACAATTTCCATGATACGTTTTTCAGGGTTATTTTCTATATTGGTAGAAAACCAATATGAAATGCCAAACATTTGGTCGCGCAAGCGCATGTTTCTGCCAAATGCTCGTCATATCACGGAGATATAATTGAAAGAAAATTGATCATTCAAACGTTCTTCGGACTGGAATAGAATAATATCTGATTTTTAAAAATTCAGAATAATTCGCTGAAAAGAGATAAATTCGACGATTTGCAATGACAGTTTTGTTTTTATGATTCGCAGGACCTCTAGCATCAAACCATAACTATTAGGATCCTCAAATTTCCAAAAAATGAAGAAAAGAAAATTTAAGATAACTCACGCCTTGGGGTGATTTGCTCATGCCACCGAGTTGCGCCAAATTCTGCTGCTGCTGCTGTGAATTTGCCTGTTGTTGCTGTTGTTGCTGTTGCTGCTGCTGTTGTTGTTGTTGTTGTTGCTGTTGCTGCTGTTGTTGTTGCTGCTGTTGCTGTTGCTGTTGTTGCAGACTCAGCGGGGATTGATGCATGCCATGCAAGAGACTGCTGGCGTCGTGCAAGTGCGTCGGCGGCGGATGTGCCTCCACTGGACTCGGGTCTCTGGGCTGTGGCGGCAGGAGTTGGCCGTTGTTGAAGTAGCCTGCAGCAGCTGCCGCGGCGGCCGCCGCTGCTGCTGCTGCTGCTGAGGATGACGAAGAAGGCGGCGATGAAAGGGCGGGGCTCTGCGGCGAGTGCAGGCTGCCATTGTGGCTGTAGGCCGAATGCGGCGACGTCGCCAGGCCATTGTAGTGCGGCGGGGACACGGCGTGTATCAGTTTGTCATAGTGGTGCTGTGTATTATTGCGAGAAAGCGGGCGAGAGAGAGCGAAAAAAATAAAATATATATATTTATATATATGCATCATGCACCTGAGAAAAAAAAAATGTCATCAAACAAATGCATGGAGCACTTGTGAACCTCTTTGTACCGTATTCTATATAAACCCTTTCACTTGGAAGAAGAAAAAAACAACCAAAATTGAGAAAAACGTAGAATAGCAGTGCAATAGTTATTAAACATTGACAATATACCCAAGATGATCCTGAAAAAAATGAGCAGATGTACGTTATTCTGCCTTAATGATAGACTATTTCTGAGTCAGCGTTGAACTATATAAAAGCTCAACACCATTATATGCTTGTGTAAGAACTTTATGCAAAACCAATAAGAAATTGAAAAAGGGGAAAATTTTAATCGCTCTTCATCATACAAACTGCCTCCTGCTCAGTATTATACTCACAGGGTAGTTGACCTGCTGGTGCTGCAGGTGGTGGTGCGGGTGCACAGGATGCGGCTGGTGGTGGTGACCCTGGTGCTGCAGGGCGTGGTGGTGGTGATGGTGGTGGTGGTGGTGGGAGTAGGCAAACTTGTCCGACATGGTCGAGATGGGCGGCAGGGGCTGGAGCGGCGTGAGGGTGGCATACGACGACGGCGGCGGGCCGCCACCGTAGTCGCCGTGCGGCGGCAATCGGAAGTCCGACGCCTCCAACATCTTGTCTTCGTCCTCCTCCTCCTCCTCCTCCTCACTTTGCCTGCGTCTCGCGTCTCCTCCTCCTCCTCCTTTTCCAGTCGCTGATTTTGTAGCTCCTCCTCCTCCTCCTTCGGCCTCTGTGCCTTCCTCCTCCTCCTCCTCCTCCTCCTCTTCGTCCTCCTCCTCCTCCTCGTCTAATCGAGTGTGCTCCTCCTCCTCGTCTTCTGTCCGCTGCTGGTGGTGGTGGTGGTGGTGGTCAGCCTCGTAGGCGTCGTGGAGCTTAAGGTCCTCGGGCTCGTCGATCAGATCGGTCTCCTCCCCTGGCTCGGGCGCCTCGTCGCCATCGCGCTGTGCATCACGGCTATGATGATGATGATGATGCTGATGATGACGGTGGTGGTGGTGGTGTTGGTGATGCTGCAAGTCCACAGGCTGGTTCTCCTCGTCCTCCTCTTCGTCGACGTCTTCTTCTTCTTCTACTTGTCCTGGCTCTTCGAAGCTGGTTGCTGTGGCCCCGCTGCGAAGTCCGGTTGTCGAGAGGTCAGTGGCAACGTCCAAGTCGTCGACCTTATTGTTGACTAGAGCGAGGCTGGAGCTCGACACCACTGGTAGGGCACTTGTGGTCACTATGCGCACTCGGGCGCCAACAGCCAATCCTCCGCCCTGTTTTTTTTATTCATTTGTTTTTTTTTTCGTCCGTCCCACCCCGAGACAAAAGACAACAGAAACAAAAAATTGAGAGTTATTCCAAGAATTATTGCGAAACAGGCATGAAAAGGGTCGCATATTTTTTAATAACTTCGTTTGAAAAAAGAAAATCGCGGATGATTCGTATATACACGGAAACTCAAGAAAAGGGAATGGACAAGACGGGGGAAGGAAGCACCTTGTTCGCGCAGCAGCTGGTCCGATACAGGGTGCAAAAAAAAAAGGTGAACGCATTTTTTTCACTGAATGTAACCGGAAGTTCGGGAAAGATATTTTATGACCGGGTTTTCAGGAAAAGTTCTAGTACATTGAGAGCTTTCTAATGCGCAGGATGCATTTTTAAATTTTACTTCTCAAAGTGAGGGAGGTTTTCAAACAATGAGGAAGTCAAACAAAAAAAAAGTTATTGAACAGTGAAAAAATTGAATCCCACCTGCTAGAAACTAGACCAGCATGGTGCCTTGCACTGTACAACGGAAACCGTATCATAACAATAATGTATCCAACTAAAAACGCCTTTCAATAAAAATTTGATGGGTATCCAGAGGAAAAATTACATTTTATGAACTTAGACTTCAGTATTCAGCAATAGAACAAATAAAACTATATATGCCATGCATTTTGAAAATTTCGGCTATGATTTTCAGGCATCCATTCATCATACATATTCACCCTAATTTGATCATTGGAAAATCATAATCTAATGTTGCATTCGATAAAAAAAATGGTTCCAGCATAATGCTCAATTGATGGATTCGAACAATTTATTTCCTTCATTCAGGGAAATTTCAAGTTGCTCCAACAAGAATGTCTGCAAACTGGACCACAGCTTGTAAGAAAGTGCAGATACTTTACAGTTTACTAACATGAATTTTTTTTTAAACTGGAAATTACATGAACAAGAGCGTTTGTCAGTACTGAGTACTATAACCGCACCGTATTTTGGTCACAATCATTGTTTGGGCGTTGAAAACCTTGGCATGTGCTAAGCACAGAACTGGAGTGATTGGCACACAATTGAAGTAAAGGTCATCTGACATTCTTCCCGACATTGGGCTTGTACCTTGTCGATGGAAACTTCTTTTAACGCGATTAGATGTCACTGGCAGGCAAAATTTTATTTTTATTTTAAAATGCGGCACTGAGCCCCACTACAAAGTTCCACCTGAACACAATCAAGGGCTGATTCTGTTGAAATTAATTTTTATGGATAAATCTGTAACAATTTTTCTTCTTTTTTCAATTATTTTTGACAGCGTGCTGGCGTTTGTATCACTCATTTCAATACACTTGGGTTTGAATTAAGTACGGTACGCACACACATAAAAAAAAACTTGACTTCCTTAAATTAAATAGCGACTTTTTGAGCACTCCATACATTTTATATAGGATATACAGCACAGTTTGCATTGTTTTATTTTATTTTCTCGTTTATACTCGTCGCGATTGTCATGCGGGTGCCTTGTTTAATGCCACGGGTTTTTGTTGCTTGATACGCATTAATTTTTCTTTCTTTTGTCTTTTTTTGGTGGTAGTTGTTGTTGTATTGGGTGGGAGTTGTGTGGTGGGCAGGTGTGCTGCACGGAGTCACCTGGGTTTGTCGTAAATTTCAAATTCTTTCCTCTCTCTCTCTCTCTCTTTTGTTCGTTTCACCGATCCGCACGTGTTGGATTTAGTACCTCGTGCCTGCCATGTCATTCCAATGATGGAACACACTTTTTCAACATCATTCATGTTGCACCCGTTTTTACGCAAAGCGAGATATGGAGAATGCTGGAAAGAACATCAAAAGAAAGAAAGAAATAGAGATGGAATTCCCGCGAATAATTCATTTTACATGGACTTTATCAGTACTTAGATGATGCAGAAAAAATTATGACCGTTATTGTGCATTAAAGTATTCATAATTATTTTTAAGTAGTGGCAAACAAATGGATAATATGAGAAAAAAAGTGGTTCATCATCAATTGGTACAACTGCTGCAACTCGATCCGTGGGTCAGTGAACCCACGTGATGGCTGGGATAATTGCTTTCCGAATGACTTCTCATCCCTCTTGTTATGATTGCTGTGGTGCTTATCCACCATGCATAGAAACAGGTACCAGCATCGATCTCATCCTCGTGTATTTTCATTTTACTGTATTTTTTATTTTTATTTTTTTTATTGATGCAACACGTTGTACGTGCAGTATTTGATATACTGTACCATTGAAAAGAAGAATGAGCCAAAGATCTCGGTTCTTTAATTGCAATTGTTTAAAAAGAATTACAGGTGCTGAGTGTACATCAGGTGTGAATTTTTACGCAATTCCGCAGTTCATGTACATCATTGTAGATGTTTTTTTTCAGATTAGACAAAATTGGTCAGTCACCCAGTTTGAGATGTAACTTATTTGAAAAGTACTGTTAGCTGTTTGCAAGGTGTAAGATTACTTTGTATGACTTACCCGAGAAAACCTTTGAAGGTGATTGATTGCATTCCTTAAAAGTTCAAATTATCATCAAGACATCCCGGAATCTAATAATGTTCCCCTTAAACTCTCACTCAATATTTGAATTGAAACAGAGAAACGGACCCAATACGCCGAATAAGTATATCCATGTAAATTTGTTGAATGACATTGAGACTCTATCTCCCAATTCCGTCAGATTGATTGCCAAATCCAATTCCTGCCTTAATGAGTTGAAGCCATTTCGCATCAATGTGCAATGTATCTCACAAAAAACTACTTCCCATTTCCGGAAACATTCAACTCATACTTTCATCCTGGGATCATGTTCTTCATCTCCATTTTTATCCGAAAATATAGCCTGTTCTCATCATAATCAACCGACGTTAGGTTTGCAACAACAACAAAAAACCCATCACATGGCTTTTCGGTCATGAAAATTTTCAAGCTTCGACAATAATTGATACGCATTAAAAAATTAAAAGTGAAATTTAAAAAGCTTGAACTTCATGAAAGAGGTTGTGAAGTTACGTACAGTACATGAACTGCTTTTTTTTTCCTTATCCAAGAAAAAGCCACACGGAGCAGAATGTAGTGCCCTGCAGATTTCAACACAAATACAGCACTTGATATCTTCGGAAAGTGGTAAAAAATAAATGAATAAATAAATGATATCCTATTTCACTACGAGACTCGGAATGCGGTTTTAACGCAGCACTCGGAACAATTTCCTGCACCATTAGTCCAAAGTCACCGGATCACATTTCGTGGCAAGGCAATATTTAGACACCTCGCTCACAGTCTGCATTTCAAATGCTTCACGAAAAGGAGCTTGAAACATGTGAGAGAATTTCGAAGTTAGGCAGAAACTGGAGATCCTTGCAATAAAGCAGGGCTTCTCAGACGAGTGCTTAACCGCAATTAGTCCTCGTCGTTCGCTTTACTTTCAGACTCTGGAATTCTAGATGACAGATCAGCTGTACATGCTGTACTTCCTGTCTCCAAATGAATTCAACTTTGCGAGACAAAAAACAATGACATATGCAGTAAAAGTTTCTGTAGTGTTGGGAGTTGGGAAAAAGTGTCACGCGAAAATAAATCTGCGGGATGAAAAATATGATTCAACTGATGCTATTTCTGGAAAAATTAAATACAGTGAAACCCACAGATGCGGACTTGATTGGTGCATCAAGAGAATCCCCGAGTCTAAATGTCCGCAAGTTGAGTCTCATTTTCCCTTAGACTTACATTAAATAATTTTTCATTGGTGTTTTATGGACAAAATACTCACCATAATTCCAGGAAAATAAAAATTGTCTCCCAATTTAAACTGCTTCAATCAATATATTTCAACACAATAAGGACCTTTATTTGGGGAATTGAATACTGATACTTCTCTACAGTACATAAAAGTATTGGCATTATCTGTAAAAAATAACATTCAATTTAAAAAGAGCAAAGGAAGTCCCTCTATGCCAGAGGTAATTTTTTTAAATTAGCTAAATGGATGGTAAATTGGTGAGAGAAATGCCGAGGAACTTATTTTCTTACATCAATTTTAGGCTTGGAAACACTATCTGTTTCTTGTAATTTGGCCTGAAACTTATTTGCAATTTTATCACAAAATGACCCTACGTTGAGTCAGTGTCCTCACGTTGGATGGACATTTTCTATTAATTTTGTTTGGAAAAATAAGTGTCCCTCTGTCAAATTGTCTGCATGTCAAGGTGTCCACATGTGGGGGCCTCACTGTATATAAAATGAAAAAAGTGCTGGAGCAAACAGCTTTCATACTTTTTTGGATTAGGGGACTCGTATAAAAAAAGGGGGAGGTACAGTACTTCGTTAATTACAACAATGAACCCGTAATTATCCGTTTCAGAGAAATTAAATTGCCTTTCGAAAAAAGTGGGGACGCTTTTTTAATATTCTGAACCCCTCTAAACACCCCTCGCTAATGAAGACGCACGTTCTTCACGCAACCCGTCAACTTACTGTATCTTCCATCAAGAGCAAAAAGAAAGAAAAAAAAGAGAAGAGATTTCTGAATGCAATTTCACCGACCAGAAAACCGACTCTTCCTCCTGCTTATTTTGATATTACTTTTATTTTGCAGGCCTTCTCCCCTATATGGCAAACAGCAGAACGTGACATGTGTGTGTGTCCCCTTGTCTCTTCGTCACGAGCCAACAAACTGTGGCACAAGCGTCGGGAACCCCGACAATCATTTCCTCTTCCACACACACACACACAGTCACATGCAACGAAAGGAAGAGGAACCCAGTCGTCGGTGATAACGGATCCCGAAAAAAAGGGCCTTTTCCCCACACAAAAGGTGCACACTTTGCACCTTTCGCCGCGCCACCTTATCGCCACTTCCTTCCTATTTCTGCTCCGATGCACTTCCTCCCCCTCCTGTCGCCAGGAAATCCCCGGCAATTAAGCAGGGAATAAAATAGAACCCAGAACGAGAGAGAGAGATAGAGAGAAAACTTGACCATGAATGGCACACTCGAATGCAGGACAGGACAGGACAGGAAGGTCGAAGGCAGCAGCTAGAAATCAAACACTTCATCATCATTTCGGACTAGCTAGTGTTGATTTTGTGTCTTCCGGAAGTTGACTTTTGGCTTTCGCGGGTTCTCTCGTCGTCGTCTCGATTCCAGCACGTGAACATTCGACCCCAGTTTCCATAAAACCCTAATCATTTTCAGTATACCTCACCAAAAATTGTGTTTAATTAATCAAGGGAATAAAAAAATCACGTAAAAGGAATGACATCAATCACAAGGGCGCAGTTAGAGGAAAAATTATTTGCTAGAAAACTTTTCAACGCGTATTTAAATGCATGATGATTTGTCTCACTTATTCTTGCGTTATTCGATGCTGAAATGATTTGCAACAGAAGCTGGGCTATAAAACGGAAGTATAAATTTGAAGTTGTCTTTTCTTCACTTCATCAATGATAGTGGCAGAAAATAATTCTTTTTTTTCGATTTACCATTCAAGGAATACAGTACTGGGACTTGGAAATAAATTCAAAAAGATCATCAACATTGAAGCCGGGTTTTGGTGGACTTAATACTTTTTGATTGCACAAATCGACTGAAACAAATGTGTGTCAATAACGGCATTACAAATTTCTGCGATTGCACGAAAACAAAATTTGATGATGCAGAAAACTCTTTGAAAAGATCTATAATGATTCCACTGTCTTGAAAAAATTGCGTGAGAAGCTTTTGAAAACTCTCGACGTGATTTGACATGCAACATTTCGCATGAATAAGGAGAGAGAACCATAAACACAAAATGAATTTTCGAAACTTTCTCTTGGGAATACCCATTTTCAAGTGTGAAGAAGTTCACAACCAGCTCGGGGGGAATCAGCAGCACGCGGATTTAATTTCCAAAACTCCCACGCGTCGCATTCAATTTCAATATACAGCTTTAACGCGTGTCGTGACCGACATGAATGAATCAACATCCACGATTTTTTTTTATTTCATTCTTTCCGGATCCCCGTTTCCAGCAAAGGTGAATCATCAAAAATTTGAGACAGTCATCTAAAAACGTCGCGTGTCGAACGAGAGATTAAAATTAATTGCTTGATTCCCCATGTTCCACCTCGTGGGTACAAATACTGCAGCCCCCCGAAAAATAAAGAGAGAGAGAGAGAATAAGAAAGGGGATGCATTGGGAAAAACGCCAGCCAGCCAGTGGTTGCGGTGGCACCCAACGTGTGCCGTTCGACACGTGGCACCACTCTTTCATTCTCTATACTACCTCCGATTTCACCCCCACCTCTCTGCCCTCGTGTGTCCAATATTCGGCGAATATATAAGACTTTTTTTCAGACGACGTCATTCCCCACCCGGGAATGAAATGGCAGGACTTTGGGGCGAATCCCTGCCGTTTTTGTGTGTGTGTGTGTGTGTGTGACCTGGCAACTGGCTGTAGCCACAGCCACAGCAGCAGCAGGTGTGCACCAAGCACGACTTTTTTTTTTCCACCAACCCCGGGATAATCCCTCTGGTGCACTAATACGAGCGTGGGTGGATTATCACGAGCCTAAAGACAAAAAAAATGTATAATGATCTACAATAATTCTTTCCGATCCTTTTTTATTTCTTTTTCTGGCCCCATCCTGTCCATGGTTACCCTCAAAGTGAACATTATAGTGGTCTTGAAAAGTAAAGAGAAGCAAATAAACAGGTATGACATTATTGTTAGCATCAACTGTGCTGAACTTTTATTTCTTTTTCTTGCCCCATCCTGTCCATGGTTACCCTCAAAGTGTACATTATAGTGGTCTTGAAAAGTAAAGAGAAGCAAATAAACAGGTATGACATTATTGTTAGCATCAACTGTGCTGAACTTCCTTATTGTTGAAGATGCCCCTTCAGTGCTCCGAGTGTACCTGATTTTTAATCTGTCAACTCCCATGTGACGCAATACAGTATATAAATGATCCAATAAATGCCTAGTGTCCAAATGCTACCTGAAATCTATAATAAACCCTTGAGTTTTCCAACAAATAAGTTAAATAGTGTATATTTGAACCTCTCTAAGTCAAATTTCAATTGATCAGCAGCAAAATATTCTACTTCTGGATGTTTTGAGTCACAGATGTTTGAGTTATGGAAGCAAGCATTTTTATTATGGGGAAACAGAAGAATTGCACCAAATTGTAAATGGCTATATTCTGGGCCTTAAATTGCTTCTAAAATTAGTTGCAGGATGCTGAACTTTTGGAGGCAAGGTTTCATTTTTGCACAATTTAATCCGTCACATCTTTTTAAAACACATCAAAGTTCATTGTTTTTCATTTTTATTTCCTGTGTCAATAAAGTAATAGCGAGCAGAAGGCCTCAAGAATTAGACTTATAGAGGTTACAGAGGAAAATGCTTCAAGTTAGAGAGGCTTCTAATGCATTGTTTGCAATGGAATTCAGACAGGGACATGCAACTTTTTAGATTAGGTAGATATTTGATTTAGAGAGGTTCTACTTATCAAAGTTCAACTGTATCAGCTGAGTCTCCAATTGTAAAAATTCTTGAAAATTCAAGTTTTTATGCCTACCTGTAAAAGATTCTTATCTGTATGATAAGTTAAAAAATACTTATGTACAGTACAGTAACAGGGCAGTGGACCGAAGCCAGCAGCTCGGAACAGCAGCTGGATCAGGGCTGAGAACCCCAAGGGGGAAAAATAAAACAGCTGGCGTGTTGGTGATACCCGGGTATACTTTCCTCGCGTGGGACCCACCAAAATTCGAGCCAAATTCAAACATACGTTCTTCGTGCTGGTCTCTAATACTATGTGTCTTCCTTCGTAAACTCTCTCTTCATTTTTCGCGTAAATATCATCTCTTCTTACACCCCGCGAGAATAAAATGCAAAGAATTTTCCCAGCAGGATTAAAACCGAAATTCAGAGAGAGAAAAACAGCGAAGAAAATCCATGTACTAATTCTTGAAGGTTACCGAATATGTGGGATTGATTTGTCGATAATTGTATCCTGTGTATCTGTGTCCAGAACACAGTCCTTGAAAATTCAGAAACACACTGACTTTCGTAAGGCATGTTTTCCGGAAACCAGCAACAAATGTTTTTTTAGCGCAGGATTTATACTAAAAATTAAAAATTCGGATGTTTGCCGGCAGCACTGCTGAAATTTTCGCAATTTCGGAATTAATTGCGGTGCTGGGCAAATGGTAAAGTGAGCACCGATCAACTATCTACTCGACTTGATTGACACCCACTTTGTGTAATCATTCCTATTAAATCAGCGTTGCAAAACACGCAAACATTTTCTCAACGTACCAGACGATCCTCGCAAATACTGTACTGAACTGTACTACGAATGCGACATAGTTTCTTTACAGCTTCTTGAGGTTTTAAACCCGCTTTATTCGGCCATTAATCGCTTTCACAGAAAAGTACCGGGCAATTAAACGAAGCTTAAATTGAATCATTTTCATCACAGAGCTCGAGCAAAAATCTCATTACTTCCCGCGAACTGTATGAAATTCGAAAAATAGACTACTGTATTTGTGTTGAGGGTTCACTCAGAATTCAAACAAATAACGAAAGAGAGATGACCAGATCAAGAAGAAGAAGAAAACAAGAGAGATCGTGACTGTGAGGGATCGCATTCCGCATTTCCGGAAGCCGGATATACACCCACAGCATCACCGGGAGAGATTTGAACGCGAGCAGCACTGACAACACGGAGACATGATCTCTCGCAGCATCCGTGTCCGTGTCCGTCGTCACCATGTCAAGCTTCATTTTGCGAAACGACACGTTGCAAAAATGAACATCGAGGGGGACAACTCGAATCCGAAGAAAAAAATAAACGATGAAACGCGAATTTTTTCACGAGCGCGATTTGAAGAGTTTCGGCGGGAGAAACCGTGGATAAATGCGTACTGTATTTGCAGCACACACTGCGAGGGAATTTTCCCGCCAATGTCCAAATTAGCAATGATGCTCATGTTAAGAAATTCAAGTTCCAGCATTTGAAGGGGCCGAGTCATTAATTGTTCGCAACCAAAAATTTGACAAGTACAGTACAATCCAAATTTTATCAAGCATGGAAAGATTGCGTGTGAACTGCAGTTTGTTGTTCTTATCTTTTTTTTCTCTTTGTCTTGTCGCCATCAATTCGGGGTCTTCTTAAACACTTTGGAAAGTGTCACATACTGCAATATTAATTTGATTCGCAAGGAGCTTAAAAAGTAAATTTACAGTATTAATGATCATTTACAAATGCAGTGTAATAAAAGAGTATCGAGTCATAATTGCGGGGAATACGCTATACGAGTACAGTAATTCTTTTTTTTTACATATACAGTACTGTTAGTGTTTATGGAAAGTGCGGTATTGAAATTGGCCCGGATACTTCAAATGCCTTCGGGTTCAAATCTGGGTTAATTGAAATTGAACAAAACACGCAATGGACAAGGCTATAGTTCACTATTTAACAACTAGTGTGGTGCTTCCTTTTTTCACACTCAAAGCTCACCTTTCAAATGTTCATTTGGCGTAAAAAAAAAATTCAGTGTCACGAATAAAAATTAAAAAGCAGATTTCCTGCAGTTTTTTGTGAACTCATCGCGGAAATTAAGAGAAAAAATTCAGTGCTTATAAAAATAACGTTCAGAAGTACTTATTGATTATTGAATGGAACCCGCGAAAACTCACACAATAAGCACAATTTGAGCACCATTGAAAACTTTCTCAC